GAAGGCTGAGGCACGAGAATCGCTTTAACCTGGGAGGTGGAGGTTGCAATGAGCTGAGATTACGCCATTGTACTCCAGTCTGGGCGATAGAGTGAGACTCTGTCTCCAAAAAAAAGAAACCTGAGTATTAATAGAAATTTATCTGTAGTCACTGGTTTATACTAAGAGGAGTGGTGAAAAGAACAGGGTATTAAGATGGATACGTCCTATGTTTTCGTCGTCATTCTTCTCTTTAATATTCCTGTAACTCAGTCATCTCAGGGCCAGCCTTTTTACCTATGCTGGGACTTCCTTGACAGTACAGCCTGTCATGGCCATGACTGACTCTTTCTTAGTGGCGTCTGTTGGCAGAAATAATTATTTTGGAAATTTTCAGCCAACTGTATAAATCCTGAACTTCACATCTTTATTATTTTGCACCAACACCAAGTATGTAAGACCCTCTACTCATCTGCCATTTCTTGTACTCTGACCTCCATACTGTTGGTTTCTCCCTATACTTATTCCTTTATCAGTAGAATCCTATATGAGGCAAATAATATAAAACCCCATTCTAACTGATTTCACCATAGAGGGGACTTACTGACTCGTAACTGGAACGGTCAGGCTTTACAATTAGTTGATCTATGAGCTCTATGGTGTCTTTAAATATTTGGTTTCCTTCCTTTATTCTGCCATTCAAAGTGTCTGTTTTATCATAAATCAGATTCTGCTCATTCTCATAGGATGGCTGCCAGCTGCAATCAAGGACACAAGTGTACTGACACTTAGTGGGAATGAGACCCCCTTCTCTCACAGCATTCCAAGCAAGAGTACTGAGGGCAGGGACAGCTACCTTCAAAGAACATGAACTGTGTTGGGGGTGTATGAGTGTTGAGAGGAAGATGTGCATATAATTAGGTAAGGGAAGAGGTTAATGGCTAGATAACCAATTTGTATCTAACCATCTACTGCACTGACTTCTCCATTGTTATTTCTGGAACCCTTGTCCTATGGTAAATAAACTCCTCCACTTTTTCATACTCTTCCCTGGATCTTCGCTTCTCTTCCTGACCTTTTCTAAAATCCACTGAACCCTGACAAAAATATTTCCCATGCATCCCTCTTCCTCCCACACCCCATACCACAAAGTAAGGAGGAAAGATCAGTATCTTTTCCCCCAGAGGCTCCCCTGCAACCACTGTGATGTGTCCAGCACTTCTTCATTGTGTAAAAACACCTTTGAAGCTCATGATCTGGTTTTCCCATTTTATATCCTGCTCATGTTGTCTCCCCCAGTCAGCTGGGAGTTCCTTCTTCAGGTACTCGGGTTCCTGGTTCAGTCTTCCTTTCTCCTCCCAGGATCCACCATCAATCTGCTGACTCCAGTGTTCACATAGGCAATTTATCCAAACTAGACTCTTGTTTCTTTACACTCTTGCAGAGAAACTGCTTAATCATTGAGGTCTTAAATTCAGATATCTCACATTTTTACTATAACCTGACTACTCCCATTTTACTGTTTTATTGATTTTACTGAGACTATAGTTTTTCTGTCTAAAACATTGATCATGTTTTATATTCCATTTCTTCCTATCTCTGTAGGGAGCTCAGTCTCTCTAAATACCTTAATAATGTAATTGAAAAAAAAGGTGGTTTCAAGTAGTATCATAACTATGATAAATTTCTTAAATATTTTGTGCAAATTTAAAACATATTTTTTCCCAAATCTTTTGATCTAAAACCAAGGCCTTTTGTTAACTATAAATGATTTCATTGGCATTTCTTACTGTCCTTGTATAAACTACACCTATAATGCATCATCTTTGATTTCCAGTTTCAGCTTCTCGAAAGTGGAACATGAGTATAAGAAACATATAAGTAGTATGAATTCAGAAGCCTTCTGAATTGTCACAATTCCTTTCCCAATCTTTCATAAGGACAAGTTTTTTGTGGGAGTTGAATTTTTTTGTAACTCTCTTTTTTAAAGTATTTCTGAAACCTTTTACGTATCCCAGAAATAAGTTTTTAAATTTTGTATATATTTAATCAGTCAAATATTTAAATTACATGAAAATAAGCATAACAGGCATAAACAGGTTTTGGAACAACAGGCTTAACCGTTAGTATGTAACTCAACTGGTGGAAGAAGAAATGTGAAAATGTATTAGAAAATAGCCTGGCAGCCTCAAGTTGTAAGCATCAACTAGTATGTGGACATGAGTTCTTGTGGAGAGTAAAGATGAGGAGGTCAGTATTTAGGTCTCTCCTATGTGAAAAATGTATCTATTCTGTGTCTCAACCTCTTTCAGCTACACTGCATTAGCTCTTCTTCTTTCCATGGCCAAATCCACAGAGAATTGCCTAGGTGCACACTGTCTCCAGTTCTTCACCTCTTCCTTATTCCTCCATCATAGTAGTCAGACCTATACCCCTGCTGCTCCCCTGATGCTGCTTTAGCCAGAGTCGTGAATGGCATTCTGCTGCTGTATTCAACAAAGACTTTTCAGTTTTTCTCAACATCTGTATGTTTGGTACTGTTTTCACTGCTTACTTGTCACAACTTCCTAGAACCCATCTTGGCCTAATGTTCCTTCTACCTCAGTGATCATATTAGAGTTAGGGCCCCAATGCTTTTCTCTCCTCTGCAAACTCCCTTGGGTACTCCTATAAATACGATTACCACTTAATATTAATGAATTCCTCTTACATGTTCTGTAGCCACTTCAAACTTGGCATGTCCAAAATTGAGTTTCTCTTTTTTCCCCCAAAAAGCCTCCTTTCCCTTGACTCTCTTGACTCTCTCACCTCCACCACCTCCATCCATTCAGTACCAAGTCCTATTGAGTCCAACTCCTGAATATATTTTAAATCATTCCAATTCCCCCTATTTCCTAGTTTTGTATACTTTAATCATGAGCCCCAATTACAGCCCCAAGAACAACTTCTCTCTTGAATGATCTCTTTTACAAACCTTTCAACTCATTATAATTTGAGCGATTTCTCTAAAATACAAATCTGGTATCTCTCACCTGATTAAAACCCTTCTATGGCTCTCGAATTGCCTTCAGAATAAGATTAGATGTTTGGGGGAGTTTTTTGTTGTTGTTGTTGTTGTTTTAATGTTGTTTTAATGTTTCATGTAGACAATGTTTCACTATTTTGCCCAGGCTGGTCTTGAACCCTGGACCTTAAGCAATCTGCCTGCCTCAGCCTCTCAAAATGTTGGAATTATAGGCATGAGCCACGATGCCTGGCCAAGGTTAGAGGTTCTGATGATTCCCAAGGCTCTTCATTTGCTAAATGTCTCTACTTACCTTTTCAGCCTTCTCTCCCCTTATGGCATTACCTTTGGATAATTCCTACACATTGTTCAAATGTTGGTTTGCTAGTTGCTCTTTCTAGAAAATCTTTCTTGACACATTCGCCCTGCCCCAAGACCAGAATGGAGTTTCCTTCTTTTGGAGTTCTCTCTTCTTACCCTTGTCATAACACTCATCTCAGTGTAGTATAATTGCATGTTTATCCATTTGTCCTTTCTACTATGTTAGAATGTCAGGGTCTAAGACAATTTGCCATTTATCCCCATCGTCTGTCATGAACTGGATACAGTACATGCTCATAAGTATTAGCTGGATGAATGACTTTAAACAAGTCACTTAGTCTCTCTGAGGCTTCAGTTGCTTCATTAGAAGAGAATACAATAATGCCCTACCTACCTTATAAGGTTGTTTTGGGGTCCTGTAAGATAATAGAAATGAAGCTTAGCATAGTGGTTAAGAATATGGGTTCTGGATCCATACTGCCTGGCTTTTAATCCTACCTGTGACCCTAAAACTAGCTGCATGGCTTTAGGGAAGTTACTTAACTTCTCTGTGTTTTAGTTTTCTCTTCAGTAAAACAAGACTAACCACAGTATATAACTTAGAGGGTTGTTGGATGACTGAGTGAGTTACTGCATGGGAAGTATTTTGAACCGTGCCTGAACAGACAATAAATGTTAGCTACTAAATATAACATTTTTATTTATAAGCCCTAAAATTATATATACTTACATTTATGTATATATGTGCATGTGTGTATAGATAGAGAGAGAAACATGGCATCAGTATTACTAGTTTGAATGTTTTAAGGGAGTAAAGACTGGTATCATTATTCTTAACAATTTTTTTTTTCTTTTTTTCTTTTAGGATAATGCCATAGCTATCCCAGAGTTTATTTTCCAAGTCTTAAATTCAAATTGTCATTCTTAATTTACATGAAATTTTGGTTAAGAAAATTGATGTTCAGTATAGGAAGAGAAGTTTTTAATGTTTCCTTGCTAAACTTGCAAGGTTTTTTTGAGTCTATGTACATAGTAGGTGGAAGTTAGCACTGGAAAAATATTAAAATAAAAAAGATACTGGCCAGGTGCAGTGGCTCACACCTGTAATCCCAGTACTTTGTGAGGCCGGGGCAGGAGGATTGCTTGAGCTCAGGACTTCAAAACCAGCCTGGGCAATATGGGGAGACCTCATCTCTACAAATAATTTTTAAAAATTAGCTGGGTATGGTGGTATGTCCCTGTAGTTTCAGCTATTTGGGAGGTTGGGGTTGGAGGAACACTTGAGCCGATGAAGTCAAGGCTGCAGTGAACTATGATCACGTCACTGCCCTCCATCGTGGACAACAGAATGAGACCCTGTCTTGAAAAAAAGAGAGAGGGAAGATTACTGATTTAATTTATGAAGGAAAATTATTATAGCTTCAACACCTGACTTTATTTTTCTATATGATTTAATTACACCAACAATTCAGTGTTTGAATTATACAAATTTCATTAAAACTATGTAATTATGCAAGAAAAATAGAAAATACAAGTTACTTAGTTTTGTGCATATGTGTTCACCTGAAAATATTTGCTTGTTTTTTTTTTAAAAAGTTATTTTTAATTTAAAATTTAATTTTATAATGCACATTCATATGTTGACTTTGAACCAACTGAAATCCCTAATTCTTATTCTTTTTCTGATTCTTTTTAGAGTTGGTGGTTCCAGGAATTTACTCAGAATGACATTAGGAAGAGAAGTGATGTCTTCTCTTCAGGCAATGTCTTCCTATACTGTGGCTGGCAGAAATGTTTTAAGATGGGATCTTTCACCAGAGCAAATTAAAACAAGAACTGAGGAGCTCATTGTGCAGACCAAACAGGTGTATGATGCTGTTGGAATGCTCGGTATTGAGGAAGTAACTTATGAGAACTGTCTGCAGGCACTGGCAGATATAGAAGTAAAGTATATAGGTAGGTCAGATGCAGAAGCTTATCAGTGTTCCACTTTGTGGACATCTTAAATCATTTCATGCTTTCTCTCTTTCAGTTTTTCAGTTTTACAAGCATTGATTTTTACATAATTGCTTAAAATTTAATTATGTAAGATTTTAAAATTGTTTATGTTGGCAAAGGTGCCATAAAATGTACACTGATTACACTGCTTTCTGGAGAGCATTTTGGCAACGTGTCAGAACTTTTAAGATATTCATACCCTTTCCCATTAATTCCATACCTAGACATTTATTCTAGGAAAATAATCATATATATGGAAAATTCATGTGTCAATTTATGTATAAGTAGGTATTCTTGTCATATCATAGGCTTAGAAACAATTCCCAAGTGTCATCCAATAGATTAGATAAATAAATTATAAAACATCCATCCTCTGGAATGCTGTATAATCATTAAAATCATGGTTTACAGGCAGTGTTTAATGACACGGGGAAAAGGACACAGAAGAACTGGAAGAAAATAAACAAATTTTATCAACGGTTTTGTTAGGATTCTCCAGAGAAATTGAACCTATAGGGTGTGTGTGTGTGTGCGTGTGTGTGTAAGTATATATATGTAAATATGTGTATGTGTGGGAAGAGACAGATCGATTGATAGATTGATTATAGGGAATTGGCTTACATGATTAAGGTGTCTGGAAATTCCAGAATCTCAGTGTGGGCTGGTAGGCTTGAGACCCAAGAGAGCTGATGTTCCAGCTCCAGTCCAAAGGCCAGTAGCCTAGAGGCCCAGAGGAGCTAGTAGTGCCGAAGTCTGGGGACTGCAGGAGGATTCTCCCTTGTTCAGGGAGTCTTTTAGGCCCTAAACTGATTGGATATTGGCCACCACATTATAGAGGGCAGTCTACTTTACTCAGGCTCATCACTCTAATGTTAATCTCATCAAAAACACCCTCCAAGTTAACACATAAGATTAATCATCGGAATGTTTAATGTATCAGGTGATGGGTTTATAGCTAATTTTTACTTTCCTCTTTATGTATTTCTCTATTTTCTGCCCTGACATACATTATTTTTATAACATATTAGACCCTTCAAGTTATAAGGAATGAAGATTCCCTTTGGTTACCTCTAAGGGTTGGACATATTTTGTAGAATGATTATGACAGACAATCTTGGCTGTATATCCAAGTTTCATAAGAGAATATAAGATAGCTGCAGAACTGGTGATCGTAAACATTCGTGTGCATTTTGTAATTTGAAAGATTGTCAGAATCCAGCATAGCCCTAGTGACGTGGTCGTCTCCTTGCCCCACTATCCCTTCATTCTCTATGTTTCACTATAAAAAGGACTTGGCTGTTTTCTCTTATCTCAGCATTTGTTTCAATTTCTGCTCCTACCAGCAACTGCTTCACCTTCATTAATGGCTTCTCAATCTTATTACACGTCTTGAATTTAAACTCCTGAATAAAAGGCTCTGATTGTCTTCATTAGTCACAGTCAAAGGGATAGAGTTAGTCCCTATTCAGCAGAGCTTTTCCAGCTGGTGACTTCATGTGCGTGTACCATCATGGATGTGGTTTGTCCTTGGTTCAGGTGCTCACTTCTTCAGTCACTTGTGGCCAAGATGGTATAGCAACCCATAACTTAGGCATTTGAGACAAAGTCTCACTCTGTCACCCAGGCTGGAGTGCTATGGCACAATCCTAGCTCACTGCAGCCTCGAACTCTTGGGCTCAAGAGATCTTCCTGCCTCAGCTTCCTGAGTAGCTGACACTGCAGGCCTGTTCCACCATGCCTAGCTAATTTTTACATTTTGTGTGGAGATGGGGTTTCACTATGTTGTCCAGGCTTGTCTCATGTATGTTGCCCACTCCTTGTCTCCGGTGATCCTTCTGCCTTGGCTCCCAAAGCACTGGGCTTACAGATGTGAGCCACTATGACTGGCTCAAACAAAATCTTTTAAAAATAATTACTTTAAATTGTTTTTCTCTCAATAATAGATCTTTTCAGCATACTTTCAAGTTTGTGATATTTGTTCTTGCTCCTCTATAAATTTATTTTTATGGGTTAATTATTGAAAATTGTGAGTTTGGGAATAGATTTTTTAAAAACTAACTTTCTCTTATCTGAGCATATTCTCCGCATCCTTTATGCCTCTCACAGTAGCTGTTGAAACTTTGTTTGTCTAGTGTCAGGCACTGGGCATCAGCATTGTCTATAGTTTGGCAGTGAGAGCATCAATCTGGTTCCAGGTCTTTGTGGCAAAGTAAGGAAGGAAATGGCTTTCAGCATCTTTGTTTGTTTAAGAATATGTTTCTAATTGTAGGCTCCTGCATTTGATGTTGCTTATATAAGTTTTTGAGCAATTTTTATTCCTTCTTAATACATTTTATAGCTAGTTTATTTTATTTTATTTTATTTATTTTATTTATTTATTTTTTGAGATGGAGTTTCACTCCTGTTGCCCAGGCTGGAGTGCAGTCGCACAATCTTGGCTCACTGCAACCTCCACCTCCCAGGTTCAATCAATTCTCCTGCCTCAGCCTCCCTAGTAGCTGGGATTACAGGCATGCACCACCACGCTCTGCTCATTTTGTACTTTTAGTAGAGACAGGGTTTCACCATGTTGGGCAGGCTGGTCTCAAACTCCTGACTCCAGGTGATCCACCTACCTCAGCCTCCCAAAGTGCTGGGATTATAGGCATGAGCCACCGTTTTATAACTAATTTTTAAAAGTAAACATATTGCAACCATGTAGTTAACCATTGTCACTTAAATAAGTGCTGTATTAAATTTCAAAATTTTCTATTCCATTCTTTCCTTAACCGACAGACATAAAATTATATATTAAAACCTAAAAGTATAATTTCATAATTTGATATTTCAAAAATATACCTTATGGATTTATTCTGGTATTTGTGGCAAGTATTTCTAATAGCTTTATTTGTAACAGTGTTTTAAGAGGACTGATATGAGTGAGGCAGTTTGTTTAACTGTATAATTTCTTGCTGTATAAAGGATAGCTCTACAGTCTCCTAGAGATCATATGGAAATTTTACTGTTTATAATACCTTCACAATACTGAAGTTAATCAAATAAAAATTCACTTATTTTCACAGCATAGCACAACCATCACTATAAACCCATACTTATTTTTGTTGTATAGTATTGGTTATTTCACTGACATCAGAGATTTTTACCCAATTAAAGTCAAAATAGAAATTGATGAAAAACCCAAGAACCAACTTTAATATGTGAAGATCAAACCAAACGAAATTATCATTGTTATTTAACAGGAATGTCTCCAATGTCTAGCTATTTACTGGATGTGTCCACTTAGATTTCTGGGAATCCTTTGAAATTATCTGGAATTTTGAATGTTTTTATGTATGTGTGCATTTGGGGTAGGGTCCATTGCTTTGATTAGATTTTTCTATGGAGTCTTTATCCTTTTATGTACCCTTTCCCCATCCCAGATCCTAAGATGCCTCAGTATAGGAACTGTGTCTTTCTCTTCCTACATTCCCAGTTGATAAATTATACCCTCAGGCCAGATGCAGTGGTTCACGCCTATAATCCGAATACTTTAGGAGGCTGAGGTGGGAGGATCACTTTAGCCCAGGAGTTGGAGACCAGCCTGGGAAATATGGCAAAACCCCATCTCTACAAAAAATACAAAAATTAACTGAGTGTCTGTGGTCCCAGACACTCAGTGGTGTTGGGGAAGGAGGGTGCTGAGGCAGGAGGGTTGCTTGAGCCTGGCAAGTTAAGGCTGTAGTGAGTCGTGATTGCACCACTGCACTCCAGTCTGGACGACAAAGCCTGGGCGACAAAGCAAGACCCTGTCTCAAAAAAAAAAAAAAATAATTATACCCCAGTGTACTTCGATAAGTGCTCAGCTCACATCCTTACCGTTCATAATGATGCCAACTGGAACAGCCAAGTCCTGCATTAGATGCTTTTTCTTGGTAGCCTTAGGAGCCTTTATAGAAAGTGTAAAATAAAATAAAGTAAAACTTTTATTGGCATGAGAATTCACTGGGTATGAGGTATTTGGCTTAATACTGATTTGGCAAGTCCTGTTGTGTGGTAATATTTTGGTCTCCATCCGCAGTGGAAAGGACCATGCTAGACTTTCCCCAGCATGTATCCTCTGACAAAGAAGTACGAGCAGCAAGTACAGAAGCAGACAAAAGACTTTCTCGTTTTGATATTGAGATGAGCATGAGAGGAGATATATTTGAGAGAATTGTTCGTTTGCAGGTAAGTGGTATTATAAATCCCTTTAAAGAGGGGAAAACTACAACAAAAAAGAACCTTCAATCATCAATAAAACATACTGATTGGATTTTCTTAGATTTTGTTTCCAATGATTATAATACCATAATGGGCATTATATAGTATTACATTATGTTAATTGTATCGTTGAGATTATGTTGAGCTGCTAATTCCATTCAATTAAAGACCAAATGTAGAAGAGAGAACATCTGTAAAGTCAAGGCTTTTTAACGACATTATGAACTTAATGGTTGCTTGTAAGGCTTATCTTAGACCAAATCAATTAGAAGCAAATGGAATCAAGTTGTTTATCTTAAATCTCTTGTGGTTTGGGAACCATAATATTGATGACATACTGTTGATGCTGTATGCCAGTCATTCCTGTCTGTCATCCTTACATTTTTGAAGACTTGCGGAAATTATGGATAAATGTTCTAGGTGGGTCTGCCCAAGTGTATTTGATCTTTTCACCAGTGTTGATTTGCCTCCTAGCAGTTTCATCATGCCTTGCTTTCAATTTTTATTTTCATGACACTTCAGCAATTTGTTTGGAAAACAAAAACAGTTTTAAAATTCCAGGCATTTTTTGTGTGTGTGTTTAATTTTGCATGTTTCTTTCTGCAGAATCCCAATTCTTTTTTTCCTTTTTAGCAGACCATGACAAGAGTTGAAATATTTTAAATTAAATGGCATTTCAATTTGTAACTCATTATACAATGTGTAATCAAGATTTAGACATGTAAGGTGTATATCCTGTTTATTTTCTCATATCAAACGTGCATTTTTCATCCTGTAATTGATAATCATATAATTCATAATAACTGATGAAAGTAACTTATGAAAATAACTTTATGATTATTCTAAATTAGCTAAATTGTTCTTCTTGCTCCTTTTGACCGCATTTATTCTATGTGATTTGAATCATGGCCTTTTTAGTATCCCCATTTTATTTCATCCCCAAATTACTTTTCTTTCTTGTTCTGTATTTTTTTATGTAATTTGGAATTTTTCCTAGAATTTCTAGTTTCCTTTGATTCATCCTATTTTCATCATGATTTCTAAGTTCTCATTTGAAATAATGTTTTTTATTTCACATTCTGTGATCTTATGAATGTTACCAAGGTATGAAAGGTTTGTCACTTTAGATTCTTTGTCATAGAGTACTTTTAAATTTCATATATTTGAGACCAGCCTGGCCAACATGGTGAAACTCTGTCTCTACTAAAAACACGAAAGTCAGCCGGGCGTGGTGGCAAGCACCTGTATTCCCAGCTACTCGGGAGGCTGAGGCAGTAGAATTACTTGAACCCAGGAGGCAGAGGTTGCAGTGAGCCGAGACCATGCCATTGGGCTCCAGCCTGGGCAACAAGAGCAAAACTTCATCTAAAAAAAATACAAATTAATTAATTAATTAAAAATAGAAAAATTAGCTGGGCATGGTGGTGAGTGCCTGTAGTCCCAGCTACTCGGGAGGCTGAGGTGGGAGGATTGCTTGTGCCCAGGAGGTTGAGACTGCACTGAGCAGTGGTTGTGCCACTGTACTCCAGCCTGAGTCACAGAGTGAGACCATGTCTCAGAAAGAAAAAAAAAAATCCACACATAAAGGCCTCATTAAACTGGATAAATAGGATCTTAAATTTATGTGATGTCAGCAATTTCAGGCCTGCTCTACTGAAATTAGGATGCTCTGAATAATATTCCCAAGATACCAATAATGTATATAATAATCAAATATATTATCCCAATTGGATATAAAATGTTATTTTAGTTCTATTTTCCACTTAAAATTAATACGTAGCAAAGTGAAATTACTTTTCATAATTCTTCATGCAATAAGGGCTCCAGTTACCTATTGATGCATAACATATTACCTCAAAATTTAGTGACCTGAAATAGCAACAATCATTTTCTTTTCTCTCACAGTTTCTGTGGATCAAGAATTCAGAAACGAATTAGTTGGACAGTTCTGACTTGGGGTCTGACGTGTGGTTTCAGGCAGTGGTGACTAGGGTTGAAGCAGGTAGAAACTAATCAGGCATCTGTCGTTATTCATGTAGTCTCAGGGGTATCTGTATTTGTCCATTTTCACACGGCTATAAAGAGTACCTGAGACTGGGTAATTTATAAAGAAAGAGGCTTAATTGACTCACAGTTCCACATGGCTGGGAGGCCTTAGGAACTTATAGTAATGGCAGAAGGCGAAGGGGAAGCAAGGCATGTCTTACATGGTATCAGGAGAGAGAGCTCAGGGGAAGCACCAGACACTTATCAAGCAATCAGATTTCGTAAGGACTCACTCACCATCACAAGAACAGCATAGGGGAAACCACCCCATGATCCATTCACTTCCCACCAGCTCCCTCCCTTGACATGTGGGAATCACAATTTGGATTACAATTTGAGATGAGATTTGGGTGGGGACACAGCCAAACTATCATTGCGCCCCCGTCCCCTCCCAAATCTCATGTTCTTTTCACATTTCAAAACCAATCATGCCTCCCCAACAGTCCCCGATAGTCTTAATTCATTCCAGCATGAACTCATGAAGGGGTGGCCTGCCCCTCCACACCTGTGGGCGTTTCTTGTTAGGTGGAATGAGACACTTGAGAAAAGAAATGAGACACAGAGACAAAGTATAGAGAAAGAAAAAGTGGGCCCAGGGGACCGGCGCTCAGCATACAGAGGACCCACGCCGGCACCGGTCTCTGAGTTCCCTTAGTATTTATCGATAATTACCTTTACCATCTTAGAAAAAAGGGAAGTAGCAGGATCATAGGATCATCATAGGGAGAAAGTCAGCAGTAAGACATATGAATAAAGATCTCTGTGACATGAATAAGTTTAAGGAAAGTGCTGTGCCTTGATATGCATATGCAAACACCTTCATAAACTTTTTTAGTGCATAAAGAGCAGCATTGCGCTAGCAAGTCCCACCTTTCGCCCTAAGGCGGTTTTCTCCTTTCTCAGTAAACAGAATATACAATCGGTTTTACACCGAGATGTTCCATTGCCCAGGGACTGGCAGGAGACAGATGCTTTTCTCTATCTCAAATGCCAACAACCGCCAAGAGGCCTTCTTTCCTCTTGTACTAGTCCTCCTCAGCACAGACCCTTCACGGGTGTCAGGCTGGGGGACGATCAGGTCTTTCCCTTCCCATGAGGCCATATTTCAGACTATCACGTGGGGAGAAACCTTGGACAATACCTAACTTTCCTAGGCAGAGGTCCCTGCGACCTTTGGCCGTGTATGTGTCCCTGGGTACTTGAGATTAAGAGAATGGTGATGACTTTTAACCAGCATACTGCCTTCAGGCACTTGTTTAACAAAGCACACCCTGCACAGCCCCAAATCCTTTAAACCTTGAGTCACCACAGCACATGTCTCTTGCAAGGACAAGGTTGGGGGTAGGGTCACAGATTAATGGCATCTCAAATACAGAACAAAATGAAGTCTCTTATGTCTACTTCTTTCTATATAGACCCAGTAACAATCTGATCTTTCTTTCTTTTCCGCACAACTCAAAAGTCTAAGTCCAAAGTCTCCTCTGAGACAAGGCAAGTCCCTTCTGCCTATGAGTCTGTAAAATCAAAGACAAGTTAGTTACTTCTAAGATGCAATGCGGGTACAGGCATTGGGTAAATGTTCACATCCCAAATGGGAGAAATTGGCCAAAACGAAGGGGCCACAGGCCCTATGCAAGTGTAAAATCTGGCCAGGCAGTCATAAATCTTAAAACTCCAAAATCTCCTATGACTCCATGTCTCACATACAGGGCACGCTGATCCAAGGGGTGCGCTCCCATGGCCTTGGGTGGCTCTGCCTCTTGGTTCTCAGGTTACAACCCCTGCGACTGCTTTCACAGGCTGGTGTTGAGTGCCTGCAGCTTTTCCAGGTGCAGGGTGCAAGCTGTCATGGATCTACCACTCTGGAGTCTGGGGGGCAGTAGCCCTCTTCTCCAGTAGCCCTCTTCACTAGGGCACTGCCTAGTGGAGCTGTGGCAGGAGAGAGAGTGAGCTCAGGGGAAGCATCAGACACTTATAAAACAACTAGATCTTGTGAGAACTCACTCACTATCATGACAGCATGGGGGAAACTGATCACATGATCCAATCACTTCCTACCATGTCCCTCCCTCAATACATGGGGATTAAAATTCAGATTACAATTCAAGACAAGATTTGGTTGGGCCACAGACAAATGATATCAGTGTCTTAGTTAGATTGGGCTACCATAACAAAATACCATAGACTGAATCCTTTAAATGACAGAAATTAACTTTTTCACAGTTGTAGAGGCTACAAGTCCAAGATCAGTGTGCCAGCATGGTTGGGTTCTGGTGATAGCCCTCTTCCTGGCTTGCGGATGGCTGCTTCCCTTCCCTGCTGGCCGTTCCTCAGTGTGTGCACATGGTACAGGTTGGGAGGTGGGGGACAGGAAGGTCGAGGGGAGAGAGAGACAGGGAGAACTCTTCTTCTTTTCCTAAAAGGCCACAATCCTGTCAGATTAAGAACTGCCCTTCTGACCTCATTTAACCTTAATTACCTGCCAAAAGCCTATTTACAAATACAGCCACACTGGGGATAGGGCTTCTACAAAAGAACTTGAAAGGACACAGTTCAGTCCATAGCACAGAGCGTCTCCATGTGGTCCATTTGTGTGGGTTAATTTGGGTTTCCTTACAGTGTGGTGGTATCAGGATGGTAGGACTTCTTTCATGAGACTCTGCTCCGACACGAGTGTTCCAGCAAGCCACATAGAAGCTACTTTGCACTTATGACCTGTCACGGAAGTCACATGACATCACTTCTGCCATACCATATTGGTTGATAAGTCACTGCATTCTGCCCAGATTCAAGGGACACCACATCTCAGTCTGGGGAGTATCATTTAATTAGCAGTCATGTTTCAAAACCTTCAAAATAGGGGAAGAGGTGGGGATGGTTAATGAGAACTGAAAGAAAAAAAAATAGAATGAATAAGACCT